AATATATAAATATGAAAATTAGTGTCATACATTTTTATATTTGTTACAGTTAATTAGAATAAGTAATGGTTATATAAAAGTTTTTTATTTGTGATACTTTAGGAAAACAAAAACCTTCCCCGAAGAATTATGTTTATGTGGACAGAAAAACTTTTGGATTGAAATACTGAAAAACTAAATACAATTCTAAAAAATCAAACTTATTTTTTAAAAGAAAGTATATTCAAAACTTATGTCATTAAAAAAGCTGTTCTGGCAATACACCATTTTCTACTTGAAGGGGGAGGGAGATATGTAAGATAAAAAAATGTGTAAATATAAATTATAATTTAACTTAGCAATAGCCCCTTAATGCTTTGCTTTAATATGTTTATTTCCGTAATCTTTTATCGCACTGCGTCATTTTGAAATTGATCCATGACTCTTACGTAACGCTGATGATGTAAATAGAACTAAAACTCAAACAGCCAATAATAATTTTACAGCAGTATTAACTAGCCAAATGCATTAAGGTCCTAAACTAACTCACTCTAGAATAAGATTTCATCCTGAACACAACTCACTTGCTTTCTACCCTTCGGCTTAGTTGGATTGCTGCTTGCGTCTCTCTTCTTACTGGAAAGCTATCAACAATGCAAATGCTTTGAAATACCAAACTGTTTGTTGCCGTAATATGTATGTTTTGTAAAATAAGGATGAATATTTAATCTGCATCGGCTGCCAAATAGCACGCTATTATAGATCTACATTCTACGCAACCAATATTTCTACAATATCATTACAGCTGAGTTTGCTTCATTACACGTACATATATTTATATTACACGTATGTAATATATATATATTACACGTATGTATATATATATGTAATATGGTTTAAAAGCATGGAAGAGGAATCAGCTTGTAGTCGTCGTAGCTGAGGGTGAATCCTTACAAATGAAGATAATAAAACATGGACTTGAAGAATTTCCAGTCTTTATTTTCACACATATCCAATTAATTTAGCAGATACTTATTCAATCATAATTAAATATGATAAATTTCCATGTACATTGATTCTTAAAATTAAGACGCAGGCAGTTTAGACGGGGAAGCAAAGCGAGGAGTTATTAATATGGTATAAGCCAGGAAAAGAGTGACGCAGTTAGCTTGCCAGAGCAATTATACCAAGTTTGATGTACAAGTACAGCTAATCTATGATTGGCTAGTTAGTAACATTACATAACGTCGAAGGATCTCGGATAACATATTTTTTTATATCTTACATACTATATATGTAAAATATGAAAAGATAATATGTAAAATACAAAATAGCTGATATGTAAAATATAAAATCTAGCTTTCAAATAATAAATTAATAGCCCTTTAACTTCCCTTCCCTTCTAAAAATAACTGCAATAAATTTTTCTCCCTGCAGTTCTGATGCGCACTTACTGATGAAATCTGAACACAAAATCCTGTACATTAAAGTGTCATTTGATCTGAAATGGAATTCGCATAAAAGATTAATTGCGTTATCTTCTTCTTTTGTCTTCTTTTCTGCTTTCAGACGATTGTATTGCCTTGCCGTTATTTTTACTTTTCTTACTTTCGTCCTTTAAAAAGATGTAATCTCTTCGAGATTGGGGTGGGGGGTTTATAGCGCCCCTACAGTGATAATGTGAATTATCCAAGAAATAAAATTATGTGTAGAATTTACCGCTATGTGTGTTCTTAAAGTGTCATCTTGCTAACTACCCAACAGTCTTCAAGTTATGATCCAGTTCTCTTCACCGCTAATCCGTTGCAACTCTCACCAAATCATCTTATTATAGTAACACCGCAGTTTTATGACAATGAGAAAGCATTCTTATCACACATATATATGTATCTATATATATATATTTTTTCATTACACATACACACACACATATATATATATATATATATAATATGTATACGTAATATGTATATATGTGATATTTGTTATGCGACTTACACTCTTAATTATATTCAGAGAGCAAGCATTTCAGTCACGCCTTCTCAAGATATATTGTAATCTGAAACTTCACTGGCTTTTTTATCAACTTATTTCACCAAATAAAATGCTTTAAATTGATTTTTGATTTCGCAATAAAAAAATCTAACAAAAAAGTTAATAGAAATGAAGTGCTCCGTTTTGCTTCCTTATATTTTCGTAATCACTTCGTAATTTTCTCTTCAGAGTTCATTACAAGTTACGAGAAAATATGTATCATACTGAAATTATTAAGTCATTAAATCTAATAAATAAAAGCCTTAGATAAAATTTTTATTGATTCTTATTTTATCACTTACCTCTTTCTTGTTAGGTAGCTTAAGGCAATTTCTTTTGGATACTAATAATCTGAAAATTTTCACAGATCTGAAGTTTTATCTTATACAGGTCTTTTCTCTTCCCATTTGTAAATGTAAATATTAATCATTTTAAGTGAATAATAAATGTATTAACTAAAAGGAATTTTGATATATATCTTAGGAAGATAAACTTCATATTCATTTATTTTAAATGATTTAATACCTTGCATCTTAAAATGATAGAAAATCGTATTGCTGCAGTAATTTAAGTAAACGTTATATTATATAATTTCATGTTGATAAATCTATAAAACGCACTTTTATTCCGCTGAAAACGAAGATAAATTCTAAATGAAGTTATTAAATAAATATAAACACTCCTAGAACTCAGCTCTTGGCATGTTGGACTACTATGCCGATTAACTCTCCCGCTACTTTGCATTAGTCAGCAATTCATACTTAGTCTTTCTGTTGCTTAAGGAGTTAATATAGAGGTTATTTTACGTGAGGAGCAGTTGCTTCCATCATGTACATAAAGAAGAAACTGCATTATCGTAAATAAAATTCCTACATTTTGAAATCCCTCTGAATGTTGGAGATTCTGTTAACCCGAAAATATATTCCTTTGTAATTTAATTACCGGATTAGACTGCAGAACGAAGTTAATTTTCTTTTGCGTAACTATACTGATTAATAAATTTAAGCCTGTTTGATTTCAATTTTGATTTTGTAATTTATTTAACGGTCGCAAATGAAAATCTTCTCTTTGTGTAGATTTAATTTGAATAGGCGGCACAAAATTAAATACTTGCGAGGACGAAGTTCACTGTTAGAATACTAAAGCACTGTCTTTCACTTTTGTAGTATTCACCGCTTTTCAAATTTAGTTTTATCAGGAAATTGTTTAAACTTCAGTTTTCGCTGTCATCCTTCTAAGAGCTTTGTATCTAAATATCGTTCTGTCCGGCTATGCATCGGTTTTGCATACTTACTGGTAAAATATGTAATTAAAATCGACTTATGTGTCATATCGTTGCTAACTTCATACATTTCGTACATGGAATAATGCAAACAAAATAAATACTTGTAAATATATCACACTACATGTGTAATGTTTGTTAAATAATAGGAAGTTTTGATCACAGCAAACTGATGTGTAGTAAACGTGAATTTGTAACGAGAAAATAATTCTATTATTTATTGGAGATTTCAAACTTAGCGATTTGTTAACAAATATTGAATAATATTTGGCGCTATATGTAAACACTGTACTTTACAGAAATTTCTGAAGGTTAATATATTCCTAAAATTATGCACGTTTCGTCAATTTAGCAAATATTTGTCATCAAATCGTTCTAGGAGGTGTCACCTATTCTAGCCTGTTGAAGCTGTTTCAGACTTATTTGTTTATTTAGCAACCGAATAGCTGCAAACAGGTTCAGAATAAAAAAATCTCTCCACTGTGCATTCTGAAGGTACGTTTGATGTCAGAAGTCGGTGCATATTTACTTTTCTCTGACAAATACGTAATCTTGGTGTTCAGAATTAAATTTGAAGCAATATCTAAATAAATGTTCAAAGTTATTCAGACAAAAAAGGCGGTATTGTCTTTGTTCCTTTTGATAATATCCTGTATTTATTTTTCTTTATCTTCAATGTTTGGCCGAAATTAATTTTCTTGATATACATGGAGTTTTTCAAAATTTAATTGCACAGTACAGAGGAAATAAATGTTGAATAATGTGACTTCATATATGCTTCACATCTTAGATTGAGAAATTAGGAATTATTTGGAGCCTGTTGTATTTGAATATTAAAATATCGTTACATAAAAATATTATGTATTGCAATTCATTCAATTTCAAGTTCGCTAACGTAAATTTTTACTTTCATCACATATTAAGTTCCAAAACCAACAGCACATGCAATATAATGTCATGCAGAAATAATCAAGCTTGATTAATCCGTTTACAGTTTAATCCATGCCAGAACCTATTTCGTTTTTTTTTGTTATATTTTTTAAACCTTCTTGTAGTTAAATACATGAGCAGTTTTTTTTATCATTATAATTACATTTAACTACGAAAAATTCATTCAACATCCAACAGATTTTTTTGCTTTCATTAGCAAATTTATAGGAATTTTTCAGGAACTTGCTTATCTTATGACTACCATGTCGAGGAACGGGGGTTCGAATATCGGATCTAATCTAAACATGCGGCTCTCCGAAAGTCCTCTCGTGTGGTTTGGTGAATGGGGAGAGAGGTGGGAGGCCTTCGGTCCCGTGCCCCCGCCCGGGATGCTCTCCATCAAAAAATAAAACCACACTGTCACCTGAATGGAGCTCAAGGCTCTTGCCAACAGCAGGCGTAAACATGTGCTTCTATTCACGTGAAATTTCGTGGGTTTGGGCTGACTACGTCAGACGAGTGAGCATAAATAACAACAAGAACTTTATCATTTTAATTGCATTCCATGTATTATTTTGAAAAAATGTTATGTAATATTATTTACTTAAAAAATAAATTTTTATATTATATATTTAAGTTCATAAAATTAATGTTTACGTTACTTACGAAGAGTAATTAATACAAAATGTGCGATTGTGTTAAATTATAATGAATTATACTTTTCTTGCATGTATAATGTCCTATTTTACCATACACGATTCTTAACTTTTAATAGGATTGTTCCACCGTGCCATAATGCAGAGTGGATCTGCTCTTTGTCCTTGGGCCATAGCGAGAGATGCTGTCGCTCACACTCACCGGCTGGCTCAGATCTTGGATTGTCCCACCCAAGACAGCATGGCTCTTATTGAATGCCTTCGGAGAAAACGTCTCGAAGATATCATGGCCGTTCACATACCAGTTCCAGATCACTTGAGTGGATTTGGGCCAACAGTGGATGGTATTGTCTTGCCACATGACCCTGTCTACTTGATGGAAACGAAACCCGATCTCTTTTTGCGATACGATTTGCTATTAGGCACGACAAGAGTGGAATCTTACTTCTCTTTCTCATCGTTAGAAGAAATATCTGGCATTGACATTAACAGAAGGGATAAAATTCTTAGGACACTTGTACGAAATCTCTACACGCACCACCTCCAGCAGGTAATATCCTGAATAATTAATTCGTAAAGTTTCAATTAAATCCGCTTGAATGATTCTGAAATTTTATACCATAGTATTATAGTGTTTTAAAGTACTTTTTTAATTTAAGCACTGCAGTTAAGAACTGAATGTGGCGTATCAGTCACAGATCACAGTGTGTTTGCTTTGATTCTCTACTCTAGAACTAAATGGTTGTTATTTATTACATGTGCTTATTATATTTATGATTATGTGCATTGTTCTCATAATACACGTTCCAGATGTAAGTTGCATGCTTTTTCCTAAGCTTTTCTCATAGTTATTAGAAAGGCTTCGGAAAACGAGATATTGAGTTTTAAAAATAGTGCTAGCACAAAAGATTTAGGATGTTTGAGTATTTGCACCCTAGTTTGTTCAGACGAAGTTTGATCAAAACTCCGTATAGTTAGCACCCCGGTCGGATGCCAACTCGACCGATGACCAGTCTATGCATTCTTTTTGGCAATTCTAGTAAAGGAATCAATTGCATTATGAATAAATAATAGGTAAAAATGTCATACTTTAATTTAAAGCAATTAAGCGTTTGAAGAATTAAGTAAATTGTATAATTATTGTAAACATTTTAAAGATATTAGCGCTTTAAATTCGACATATTGTTTAAGACATACTAGTTTCTCATATTCTCAATGATTGTGCATAAAAATGATTTATATAAACTTATACCTTATTTAATAATCACGATGTTGGATATTCAAGAATCAACATTTTTACGAATGGACAGAGTAGATTTTAATCAAATTATATGTTTTGCATATTAATCCATTTTAGACCAATAACAACATGTCAAATTAAAATATTTAAAGCAAATCTTAAACGCAAAGCAAATTTTAAGAAATGGAATGTTAAGAAATTAAACTTCATTTAAAAAAAAAGTTTAAATTCTCAGCATTCCATTTCTTAATTATTTCATTGAGTTTAAGATCCGAAACACCAAATATTAATGTTTTTTTTTTTTAATTTGAACTCTATTATTCAATCCGATGTTCGATATGTTTAGTCTCTTGAATAATGGAAATTATTTGCATATGCATGCTTCGTTCTAAATTATAAACAAAGCATAAAAATTCCACAAAACCGATTGTTTTAAGTAGGAATAGGTCCCTGGACATACGCAGCTTTTAAAAATACGATATTACGCAAAGTATACCATCCATTTTCTATAGTTGACATTATAAGGTATTTCTCTCACTTCCCTAGCGTGCCTTTAGTGTATAGTGGTCAGCACACTAAGCCGGTATTTCAGAGGTCCGTGGTTCGATTCCCGACGAAGGCGGCTGTATATTTTTCAACTTTCCTGCTTCCAATTAACCTAATGACTCTACAACATATAGTATTTCTTTTGTAGTTGAAGACAGGAAATTTGAAACTTTTATTCACATATATTGTCCGACTTATAATTTGCCACGTCGAAACATTTTTACAAATTCGTTATAGCCCCAGTCTTTATAAAGAGTTTGTGATTAAAAATGATTTGATCAATGCAAAAGCCGTTTGTTTGACTTCGGACAGACGGACAAATATTAACTTACTTAGTGTTTATGCCTTTAACGGTACATTTTATAGACGAAAGTTCAAGATTAATATCATATCTATTAAAATGCTCAGAATTTGAAAATAGGCACACTTCGAAGAATGTCCAATTGGATCTACGGTGTTGCTGGAAAATTTGATCCAAGTTTGAAAGTAGCAGCCATACTCACTGACAGCACTTCCAAGTATGAGATCAGCTGCCACTATTTTTAAATTTCTACGCCTACCATGTTTTGAGCATTCATTAAACCAGATTTTGAGACTTACAATTATATTTTCGATACAGAAAACTGTTGATGTAACTTAACAGATTGGGATGTAAGTTCATTCCCTTCAAGCAAACTTCCTGAAATGCAGAAGAATTTCAAGAAAGATAAACTCAAGTTGAAACAAGACGTGCCTACTAGGGGGAATTGTACCTATGATATGTTAAAAAGTTTTTTTTCTAAAAAACTTATATTCCTTCTCTTGCTATTTGGCAAAAATCATTTAATTTCTCAGATTAAGATTGGAATGCTCTGATATAGGCAACCGAGCTTTTAAAAGTTTTCGACAAAGTAACACAAGAAATATCATCAAAGCTTACTGTTTCTCTTTCCAAAATAGGAATTTTAGTAAGATTAATGAAAGACAAATGAAAGTTTACCAGGATAGAAATAAAGACACTGGGTTGTTACAAGAAACAGAGTTGTTAATTGATGATATTTTAAAAGGTTTGTCAGAACGGTTTAATCTTATCCCTAGAAACGAGCAGCTAGTAACGCAGATAACTTTGCTGAATCCTCTAATTAAACCACAGGCGTTTCGCTGATGATCTGAAATGATGAGAATGACACGGTACTTTGGGTGTGCAGTATGAGACGCCTAAAATCCAGCTGTGAGAACTCTTCCATGTGGAAGGAGTTTGATGAAATTATCATCAAACTTCAAGGCATACAGGACTCAGAACTTTGGAATCATATAAATATTTATAGGAGCATTATTTACTCAGATGTAATGACCTCTTATTGTGGTGAGACTCTGGAAAACTAATATATTCCATAATACATGAATTTTTTCTAAAACGATTATGCATCTCAGCTGCTTCAGTGCTTTGGGAACTGATCTTCTCGAAAGAAAGCCAGATGAGAAAAGAAAACGCCTCTCGCCGGGAGAGTAAACTAAAAGTACATTAAGGTATCAAAAACCATAATAAATTATTTACGGCAGACCGGTATATTTTATTAGTTTTTAGTGTTAAGTATTTCTCAATATTTTTTAAAGCGCTGGTGGTTCTAATGTTAGGTAATTTTACACTGCGCTTTCTAGTTGTAAAAAATCAATTATAGTAATAAAATAATGTAATCTTTAACAAAAGTGAGTTTAATTTTCATTATGTTTCAACCTTTTGACTAATTTTTATTCCAGAATTTCATTGTTAGTTCTCTATAGGAAGACGTTTTTAAGGAATCTCAGAAGAACATTTGAAAAGAATCAGTCCAAGGAATGAGCAGTTTGTTTGAGTTGATTCCACGGATCCCACTCCTTGTTCGATTCTTTCTGCTTTTCCCTCATCTTTGCATACCGCTCTTAATCCACTCCCGTTCCAAGCGTAATTATCAAGGTTATTTTTAGTGTGCGGTGAATCGTAAAAAGGAATTTGTTCACTTCAGTGAGAGAACTGTTCCGATTTCATTCCTAAAAGGAACAATTTCGTACATCTCTAGAAATTGTACATAACTGTTTTCATCTAAATTTAAGTAAAATTAGGAGAGAAATGTCGTTACCTTATACTTGAATACAAGCAATTTAAGCCAAAGCCTTTTATCAAAGTATTTTATATTATTGATAAATAGAAAGACAGAGACAAAACAAAATATGATTAAGTAGTTCAGATTTCCAAAAATGACTGCCTGAAACTTTCTTACTGAGAACAAATAAAGCAAACAAAATCAGCGTTCAGAAATACAAAAGTATATATAAATGAAGTAATGTAAATATATCACCTAAATTGACACTTGAAAATTGTTAATTTAGGTGATATATTTACATAACCTATACTATAAACTGATGTTTTCAGTAAAAAAAAAAAACAGTTGCCAAAGATTTTAATAATAAATAAATTCATGAATAACCAAATGAAATATAAAAGCAAATAAACTCATAGGAGTACCAGAAAAAGATAAAGATAAATAATAAAAATATTACTTTTATCATTTTGTTTGGAAAATCTCTTCGTTAAACTTAACAAGTAAGCTCTTGTTTTTATTTTATAAATCCCCTTTTTATTATTATTATGTAGAAAGACATTTCTGAATCCTTTACAGATCTAGACGCATATTTGTTATATTTTTGATTGAAAATTTGTATATTTGCTCATTATTTCAAAAGTTTGGGATTAGAGGTTCGGTTTTGTTTTAAAAATCCTTATTGTGTTGTTTCTCCCATGTCGTAAAATATAAATGGGAAGTTTTATACTTTCTTTTGATGCTTTTATTCCGCTTAAAATGTAGCTTATTGTTTCTCCATTGTTCTTCACTGTTTCAAATTTTTGAAATAATAAATTTTGGTCTTCTGAGTATTGAACATGAAATTTCTATCTAAAATAAAAACTTTTTATATGAAACTTATGGGGGGGCAGGTACAATTATTTAATATTGTACCTGCCCCCCATATAGTATTATGCATCTGTCTAGATGACTACTAATATCAAATTAGATACCATCCTTTGGGCTAGTAATTTGTAATGTTTGAATTTTTAGACGATTTAAACATTTAAAAATATATTATTAATATAATACTTTTGAAATGATTAACATATAAGTTATTGACATATGCAACTACTAGCAAGAGACTATTGACATACATCTGAAATAACCCAGGGGAAATTCAAACTTTTCTTTTTATTTCCAACGACAGAGAATAAACGAACATTATACTAACAGAACAGAGCCAATGTCTCTCTGTCTCAAACGCTCCAAGAGGCGCCGGAGACCTTCCGATGTGAGTCCTGTCCATTTCTTCATTTAAACCGCAAAGTGGTCAGTTTGGGCTAGTAAGAATAACATCACTATAGAGGTGGTTCGCCAAGCAGTCGTGAACAGTTCCATGCCTAAAATTGACCATAACTACTCCCTGTGGTTTGTGACGTAATGTCCCTTCCAAAATGTCCTTCCAGCTCTTGGTTGAGACGCTAGCCTTTATTTCTCAAAATAAGAATTTCACAAATGGTCCCTTTCTCAGAACGTACATCAAAGCTTTCATTTGGGCTTGAACTCAAGAAGAATTTAAACTTAACTAAAAGATTGGTCGAAGCTATCAAGATTTTTAAGTAGTTGGCCCCTAAGTATCAATTAAGCTGGCGAAGCTATCCAGGGCCTGAGATACGGCCGAGCGTAGCAATAGCTTAGAGAGAGTGTAGCCAAAAGGCAAACGCGCGCTAGTCAGAATCT